CAATACAGTAAAGTAGAACAGAAAAGGACTGGAAAAAATTAAGAGACCACTTAAAATGATCAGTTTCTCTGATTTGACTTTTTTGAGCAAAATGAACATTGTTTTTTTTTTATTTTATGAACTACTGACATGTTTCTGAAATTCCAAGCAAAAATTTTGTATTTATTTACAGAAAATGAGAAATGGTCAAAATAAAAAGATGCAGAGCTTTCAGACCTCAAATAATGTAAAGAAAACAAGTTAATGTTCATTTAGAAACAACAATACTAAAGTTTAAACTCAGGAAGAGTACAGAAATCAATATTTGGCGGAAAAATAATGAGGTTTTCAGTGCAGTGGGATCTCAACGGTGTGGAGTGAAAACTGTAGATAAGAGGAAAGATCACACCACCAGTCTGGCAGTATTTTAGATATTTAAAACAAAAAACTAATCAATTATCGATATTGATTGATATGACACGCTTCTGTCATGACATCTTTTTCAGCCATATCCTTTATTGTTCCTCATTGCAGAAATTCAGATGTACCAGCAGCAAAAATAGGGGAAATGGAAGCATCTAGATTCACACAAATGTAAAATAATTAAAAGAAAGGAAGGAAAGACAGTTCAAGTATTAAAAATAGCATAATTCTTAGACATATGCAGCTGAGTAGGATATTTTAATGTACAAACTGTGCTTCCATGTTTAATATAATTTAGTCGACTCCTCCAACACCAAACGTTTAAAACTGACTTGATTGGGGATCAGTGCTGGGTTTGCATCAGGAACACATTCTCCTTCTTTTCACACCTTTTCTGTTCTTTTTCAAGACTCCACCTGCAGTTGTTGCTTCTGCAAACCTAAGCTGCTAATACCACGTCTCCGAGTAGATATAATTACACACTAGTGTGTACGTAGTGACTGTAGTAACTGCTTTAAACACAGCATACAGGTAGGAAACTGGTCTAGCGTACATTCCACAGCCAGCTAACAATGGGGTCTGTTTCAAGAGGTTTTTGGTCTTTATCTGTTGGAACTGGGGCAGGAAGATGCTGAACAGGAATAGCAAAAGGAAGCAGCAACTCTGTATTTCTGTTGTGATTTTAAGATTTGCAAACCTAGAATATGTTTTTTTTTTTTTTTTTAATCCCAGGTGATAAAAACTGGTACCGTGCTGTGATCTTGGAAGTTGGTGAGAATGAGCTGAGCATCATCTACGCTGACTATGGGAACACTGAGAAGGTCCCATCCTCCCAGATCCTGCCCATCCCTGCCCGCCTGCTGCAGCTCCCATTCCAGATAATTCGCTGCAGCCTCGCTGGTAAAGCTCAAGTTCTCCTGAATATTTCTAACCTTAATCTAATGTGTCAAACTCGAGGCGCGTGGGCCAAATCCGGCCCGCTGTGGGTTTTTGTGTGGCCCTCTAGATTCTAGACTAAACACTAAGTGTGATTAAATATTATGCTATGAATCACATCAATGCAGTTTTTATCTGTTTACTGCCAAATTGTATCAATCAGTCCTTCCAGTTTCTTTAGAATTATCGTGGAAATTCACGCAAAATCAACAAGCTAATAATGAGCTAAGAATTGGGAGTTTATTGCAGATTTTTCTCAAAAATTGTCAAAAACTTTCTTACTTGTACTAAACAGCTGCTTAAACCATAATTGATGTCAGACTATATAGTCCATGATCTGTACAGCAAGTAATAAAGTCAATTTTACCGTCACAAATAAGTGCAAATATTTCCAAATTGTTACCACAAACTCAAAATCCTGGAGGGACTGAAAAGATGTTCAATAATATTTAATTTTAAGAATTCATTGATATTTTAAAAGTTTAATGGGTTTTATCAATACATTCTGGCACAACCGGCCCTTTAAGAGCATTCATGTCCTTGATTTGGCCCAAAACGAGAATGAGTTTGACACTCCTGATCTAAGTAAATTCACTTTAGTAACTGTTTGGTGTCCTTCATCAAAAGGTGGAGAAAACTTTCCAGAAGAGTGGCCAGAAGAAGTGCTGCAGGCGTGTCGAGCTGAGCTGGTGAATGGCGTCCTAGCCAAAGTAAAGTCCTTCGATGGCTCTGCCAATGTTCTCTCTGCTGAGAGAGATGGAGTTCAGCTGAGCTCTCTGGTTCTGGACAAGCTGAACACTTTCAACAAGGCCAACCCAGACACCAACCAGAAGCTCGACGACGCTCCAGGTGTTCCTGACGGCCCCCAGTCCAAACCTGTCCCCGAATCCCAGTTAGAGCTGGAACCCAAACCAGCACCAGTTGATGCCACTGGGCCTACGAAGCCGGGTGAGCTGACAGAGGATAAACCTCAGCAGATTGTTTCTGCTGCACCAGTCTGCGGTAGGCGAAGTTAGAACGTCAGAAATGAATTTTAAGGAGCAGATAATTTACAGCCAGAGAGATATTTCTAGTGTTCTGTTCATTTTAAAACCCAAAATTCAGTTTGAATGAAAATTAGAACTAGTTCTGTCATTTTTAACACATGAAATTAATTTAAAAATTTTAGTGCGCTAATATTGCAAGTTGCAGATTAGTCGCATGACCTATTTTGACCTAAAATCCTCTCTACCGTGGAGGATTGCTTGGTCTTATTCTGCGTTCAGCAGTGAAAAGACGAACGGGGAGAGTTAGACTGCTGTTCTCAGACATACGCTTTTTTTATTTTGAAAAATTCTTATTTTTGTAATCAACTTTCAATCGAAACGTTTGGATTTTTTCCAACTAAACAATAATTAGAGATAAATCAGTGTAAAAAGAGTCACTTTTTGAATATAAAACATGAATCTATTGCTATCTGCACCTGTAATATTTTCCCTTTCAGAAGATTCAGTGAAGAAGATTGTTGACCAAATGGAGCCGCTGTACCAAGATCATTTGAATGGTTCTGGTATGGAAACATTAAAACAAGATCTAAGTTGACACATTGTTTCATTTTCTATAAAAATGTTAATTTCTTTCTTAATTCTAGATCATAAAGTCTACGGTTGCTGCTGTCAGAGCCTAAAAAAACAGGTACATTTTTTGGTAATAAAGTAAAACAAATATTTTTTTTTTGTTTTGGTACATTATTGTTTTATTATTAAATTAATGCCAGCTGGACAATGTACATTTAATCCTCTGCTTGCTATTAACAGATCAGCAATCTGGAGCAGGTGATGCAGCTGCAGCTTGCTCTCATCAAGCAGTTGGTTGGACAGATTAAATAAGATGATGCATAACTTCCTTTTCTTTCCAAATTGAATTCAAATTTGTTTTGTTTTATCCCTTTATTATATTGATGGTGCAGGATAGTCCTGGTTTTTATGTTGTTTTTTTACCTGAAGTTTAGTTTTTTTCTGGTTTTAAAGTCTCAGGATACACCAGATAGTCTTACACTTGTGTGAAAATCAAAAACCAAAGGCATGTTCAGCCTCAGTTCTCATTAAGTGCCCACTTCCCTGCCTCACACACATGTGCTTTAGCAATTTGTGCTGCCATCTATTTTCACAAGCACATACAGGGAGATCGGCCGATTTGCATTACGTTTGAGTTGTAATAAAAGGATATGAGAATAAAGTGTTTTCATTCTTTAGACGGGTCAATTCTTTCAAATCTACAAGCAAGATTTTTCTGCAACCAAATTCGCTTTAAAAATGGTTTGTCAGCAGTGAATCACAAGTTTTTCCTTTTCTTTTGCTATTGAACAATAAATAAAATGTACCTTTCTGAAAATAAAGTTGTACATGCAGATTCCTTCCTTGTTTTTCTCTTTCTTTGCCTTCTTAGTCCCTCTATTCAACACACTCAAAACAAAATATTGTGATAATTGCTGCTGGATATTAGGAAAATATGACAATAAAGGACATGGAAGAGGTTTGTGAATTGGACCAGAGCAAACAGGAACAAGTCTTAGGTGTTGTGCTCAGTTTGGTAATCCCATCCACCCACTACCAGCAACATGCTGCTGTTAGAAACTGATCAAAAATTACAAAATAATCCCCAGCCTTGTTTTTAAAGGATAAACTAGATTTAAGTTTTTGTTTTTAAGCTGTATGTGCACCACAGAATAATGGCACAAAGAATTTTCTCTTTTCATGTCATTGTTTTTAGTTTTTTTTTTATTTTAATAAAAACAAAATTGCATTCAAGAGGGGAAATACACATATTAATAAAATGAAAGGCAGCAGAAAATACAAAAATCTTGCATATATGAATGTATTCTGTACAAAACCATGGCTTCACAAACATTTGTGCCCTTAAAATAACAGATTTGACTAGGATATGTTTTTGAGTCTTGTACATAAACAGTAAAGTGTTAAAGTCAACCAAATTATAGGATTTCAATATTTTCAACTGAAAATATTTTATGGATGACTAATGAATTATAATTTAAAACGTGATTTTGACACTGTTTTCTAGAATCTTTATATTGCGATGCATTTTATTTAACCATAACACCATGGCTAAAGATATGCAAGCTGTTGTAACAAGACAATTTGCAATAGGTCCAAATTAAGTTGTTGCAAAGTGTGCTGATGCTGGGACTATACCGTCATCATTTCAGTCAACACAAGACATAAAGAATAAGAAAATGTCACTTTGCAGCCTGCAGACTTTACCACTGTACTAGCAAAAACATGGAACAATTGCACAAGCTGAATAGAAGAAATAAAAAAAAGACTTGAACCAGATACGTTGAACCTCTTCTTAATGTCGCAGAATCTGTAAATCTAATCAAAAATCCCTGTCTTAATGTGTGCTAGTACCATTCAATCAGTCCCAGTGTTGTACCTCTTGTGATGTCATCAGCACAAAAACACTCAGTGCAGGGTTGGCCTATTATGCCTTTATAACCTTTGTACTTATGCTATAGAAATTCATACTTTTATGTCTAAATGTGTTTTTATGGTAAGATTAGATTTGCAAATGGAAAAAGTTACATCACTGGATATTAACTTTACAGAAAAAGCAACGCGCTGTGACGCTTTTACACATAATTAAAAAAACAAAACAAGGCAGGGAGTTGTGTTTCTTGGGTACGCCCCTTCCCCGGCTTTGCGCTGCGGGATGAGAGGAGACACGCAGGTACGCTGGAGGTGCTCATTAGCAGGAGGTGCAGTTGTTGCTCTTTGAAGCGAAAAAACCCAGTAGCAGCAACGGAGAGAGGAGTTCTGGAAGGCAAGGTGGATACGGCGCAGCGCAAGGTGAGGATACATTAGCCTGAAATGGAGTAAATTCTGTTTTGATCGCTTGGTAGTCGCGGATGGATTGTAGAGCGCATTCCTGGTATTTTAAAGTGATTGTTCTCAAACTGTGGTACACGTACCACTAGTGGTACATGGACTGCCCTTAGTGGAACTCAAGTATTGACGGTTGTGTAGTGGAAGACAGTGGTCACTGATGGCTATTTATGATGCATTCTTTAATTCTCCGGAGTACAAATTTGGATTTGGATATCAAAACAAACTTCAAAATCAGGTGTTTGGCTTGGTAGTTGGGCTAAATGCTGTTAGCAATGCAAGCTAACAAGGTAATTGTCTGATTTTGTTGTACACAGACACTGCAGCAGCAACATGTTCAGTAAAATAGGTTATTTTAAAAAATATTTAGTGAGATTAAAGTAAACAAAAAACCAAAGATTTATTGTTTTAATCCTCCAACTTCGCCTCTTGGAAGCATGGCCTCTATATATTTTTTAAGATTTATCACAAAAATATCAACTACATTCTTCAATCAGTCATGCAGTGACAATGAACACCTTTTTCTGTCTCTTCTCTTTGTCAACAACAAACTGAAAAACTTCTATTTCATCTTGCGCCATTTTAAAATGTCTACTAAGGTGAGACTTGAGATTTACTGAGGAGGTTCAAGTTTAACTGCTGCCATTTAAAATCAGGTGATTTTTTTCAGCTGTAAGTTTCCAATGGATGGTCTGCTTTAATTATACCAATAAATACAATTAAAAACCAAACAAGGTCAATTATAAACTGGGCTTCTGTGGAGGGAGGAGCTGATTTGAATTAGAAAGGCAAGATGGCTACTTTAAGAGGAAAATTTTAATTGTTAAGGTTTTCTGCCATGATACTGTGTCACTTTCCAACAAAATTGCTTGACAGGGGAAGGAGAAGCAACAATGTTGGAGATGTGCCTTTGCTCCAACACAGCTGAATTAGCAGCTGAATTACCTCCTTGTTATGTTGTAAAACTCTGCAGAGGCCTGATTATGAAATATTATGATACAGGAGCGGAGTTGGACATCAGCACAGAACTTGTGTAAGAATTGCATAGAAATGTAATTCCATTTCAATTTTGTCCACAAATAATTTTACCTTCACTTCCCTGCAAAGATAGTGACCTCTTGTTGACACAAGCTAAAAAAAAATTAAAAATTAGCAACATATCGAGTCAAGCGGCCTCTAGCCAATCAAATTAAGCCCCTTTGATCACGTGACACTAGTGCGCTGGGATTCACTGGCGGATTGCTGCCGCCATAATTTTTACTGCCGAATTCAAAACAATAATAAAATAATCATGCATAGAATAAAAACTAAACATTATAAGTTGAATGGGTAAAAAAGTTACAAAAATCAAGTTAGTTAGTTGATTGAGTTAACTAGTTGCTGTGGCTTGTCAGATCATAACCTGTTAACATTTTGGTGCTGACCCGTGACATATGACCCAATTATGACAGACCTGAACCTGCAAACCAGAAGGTAAAGCCATGAAAATCAACATCAAACACAGCACCCCGGGCAGGGAGGGGGCTCAAAATGCATATTTGTGTTTTAGTTCTTTAGTTTGACAGCTGGAGCGTAAAGATTGCACAAAATCTGTGTTTATCCAGCTAAAATAATTCAAATTCCTTAAGTTAATTTCCAGGCAATTTTATATTATTTTGTGAATTAATTAAAACAGAATAGTCTTCCCGTTTCTAGTGTTCTTAAGCAAAGTTGCACAATGTTTTTCTTCAACAGCTCAACTCAACCAATTGAATCTGCTTTGGATTTTATGTGATTTTTCTGCAACCCTAGATTGGAAAATTGTGATCTAACTTTAACGATTTCTACACAGACAACTTTTTCATTTAAACATTTTACATGAATCTAAGTTCGATGTGAAGTTTTATATATTTTTTAACCCTTTGTGAGTTTTCCCCTTGCACACTGATCCCTCTCTGTGTGTGGTTTCCACCTTGCTTTTGCAACACATTCCACGGCGTCGGTCTACATTATTATGCCGTGAATTAGAGCTGCACCTTTTAATCAGACAGATGTTGCGCTAAACAGAAGAATTTCCACGCTCGTCTTTGTTGTTTTAAATGTGGTTATTTCCGCTGAGTCATCCTACAATAATTTAAACCGTTAGGATGTTTCCCAAAGTAACGCGCGCCACAAATACAGGTTAGTTCTCTGGATTGTCTATGAAGTCGGTTCAAGAAGTAGCACTTCTTTCTAATTACAGTGTATAGTGTGGAGGCACTTTCCGACTCCAGAGTCGTTTAAAAACATCCTCATGGCCCCGCACAAAAGTATTTATACCCTGTGTTGCATCCTGAGTCATTGATATATTTTCTTGTGATTTTATGTGATAGACAAGCACACGTGTGTGTAATTTTTAACTGGAAGAAATCTAATACCTCTAACATTAACCAGGGAAACCAAAATCTTAGTATTTTTGGTGTAGTTACTACTGCAAATATCTTAGCACACTTGAAATGAGTGACATTTTTCAGCAAGATATAGGAGCTTATATTAAGTAAATAATTTCTTAATATTGATAAAATAGTTTCAGATTCACTGGTATTTTTTTATTTTTTTAACTTATAACATGGGAAATGTCTTGTCATAAGAAGTAATCTGCCAGAACAACTAGTAATTTTTAAAAACAATTATTAGGGAATTATTTACTTAAAAGCAGCGTATATATCTTGCTGAAAAGTTATTTGTAAGTTAGTTTTGTCTTATTTCAAGTGTACTAGAAGTAGACCAAAAATACATGGTAAGATTTTGTGTTTTTGCAGCTCAATTCCCTCTTGAAATTACCGTATTAGTACTTACTAGTGTTTATTAGCATACTGTGCAATGTTGGAAGGTCAGATGAGAGAGTCAAATCCCCACTGTGAAACACGGTGGTGGCAGCATCATGCATTACGATCATAACTCCATTTTTTTTGTTTATCTTTCAGATAAAATCCAAATCTTTAATAACTATGTGGTTGTAACCTAACTTAAAATGTGTATCCATAGTGGTTACTATTACAGTAGCATTTGATTTGTTTAGAGTCTTTTTTGTTTCCCTAAAGCTTTTGACAATCTGATAAAATGTTTAAAAAATAGCTGGAAATCACTCATGTCTTTGACCTGTTTACTCTGAAAAGCATTTCAGTTATCTTGTGACGTTCACAGACAAAACAACACTAGAAAAAGTAACCGGCTGTGCTTAGAAAGCAGAATTAAAAGTATAAACAGCAAAATTTTTCCCTCTTAACAAAGGTTAAGCAAAAAAGTTGTTAACTGAGCTCACAACTCGACCTCATAACTCCATCTGTCAGCTCTGTTTACTTTTTGGCCGTTGTTGGCCACACACTAGAGTTTGAGGAGCTGCAGATAACGTCCGATTAACTCCGGCTGCTGATAAATTTGGGCCATAATATCCTGGCTGCCACTCAGCTGAACACACAGAGGTAGGCAAAGAGGACAGACGTGCCAGGGAGGCCCTGTGTGTGTTTCTGAGACAGAGATAGAATTGTGTGCAGGACGGAACGTCGCTTTAAGAGGAGACTCGGTGTCTCTGATAGAGATCTGCAGAGTGGACGTGGCGACGGCTAGCCGAGAAGACCAGAGACGATAAGCATCATCACAGGACATGGACGCACTGTGGAACACGCTCTGCTACGACCTGATGACAAGAAACTTCATTTTTCTCCACTAGGGAAGCAGTTTAAGACATGCATGCTTGCAGTGGGAGGCAGATAGGCGTGCCAACGTAGAAGGAATATGAACACACACACACGGTACACACACCTGTCTTAGAAGTTGGCAGCCTCTTCACAAGCATTCCTCTGAGTCCCTCTGCCATCCATCAGTTCACCAAATTAACCTATTCAGCTCTATTTCAAAGTTCTCCTGAATGTAATATGTTCATGTTATATTTTTATTAGATATGATCCATCAAGTTTTTAATAGTGCAAACCCATCGTAGTAAATAAAATACAAAAATCTATTGTGAGTTGGAATAGTTGTACAATTTTTCCACTTTAAAAACTTTAATGTGTTTTATTGGAATTAAAAGTGAAAGTCCAACAAGTAGTAGTGGGAGACAAATGCAAACAATAAACTAAAACAGTGGTGTTAAATACAGACTTTTTTTGTACGTCTTTGCCAGTTATGAATATGTTCAGAGTGAATTTTTGGCTCATTCTTCTAACTCAGATTCAGTCAGATTGGACGGAGAAAATCTTTTCACGTGTAAAAGGTGTGGTGATGCAGACCCTGTTACTCAGATACCCCCAAATATAATCCAGTGCCACCAACTATATTTAGAAGTCACATAATTAGGAAATATATCACAACATCGCCTGCGACAGACTGGCGACCTGTCCAGGATGTACCCCGCCTCTCGCCCGGAACGTTAGCTGGAGATAGGCACCGGCACCCCTCCCGACCCCACTGAGGGACAAGGGTGTTCAGAAAATGGATGGATGGATGGATCACAACATCGCAGTAAACAATATCAATTTGTGAAGAACTGAATTTTTTGAGTGCCAAAAATAAAAATGCTTTAGAAGATAAGAGGGTAAAGTCATCGAGTAGTTTATGGCTTAAAAAAGATCTTCAATAAAAGTCATATTACTTATTCTTAGTAACATATTGTGCCGATATAGTAAAATGTATTTATAGTAAACGGTAGTAAAACTGTATTTTTATTAAGTAGTATTAGTTGTGCACTTTGTAACATTTGATTACTGACTCCTAGGAGATAAATACAAATGCATTTCACTTTTTTCCACATTTTTATTTAAAAAGAAAAATAAATCTTGCATTTTCAATGCACATTTGTGACCTACGTTTTTTCTGTCTAGAAAACAAATAAATACACTTAATGTACCACAATGTGGGAAAAGGTCAAGGATACTTCTGCAAGGCGCTGTTACCCCAACTCACCAATTAAATGTCTGTTTCACACACATTCCTCAGAACTCCTTCCCCCAAGCTTATCAGATTCAACGTTCTTCCTGCTTTACGGCCTAGTCAAAACAATTTCATGTGCTTAATCTTGTTTTTTTAGGGGGCGGAAGGTTGTAAGAAGTCCGCTTTGCGTGCTGAAATTGTTTTTTTCACACATGAAGGGAGATGAAATGATTTGGTCTATTTTACTTGTGGATTTCGTTTAAAAAGTCATGCTAGTAGTACTGTAATGGTTTCGGGAAGAACAAAAACATGTATTTTTATAAATGTTTATTTTTCTGAGCTTTTTATTATGTATTTTCTTGCTGATGTCTAAGCGTGTTTTCTTGTTTGTGACTGCAGGTGTCCCAACATGCACCGTGACATGATCACTGTCCTTCTGTTCATTTTCCTGCTCCTTCAAGGTTGGTTAATGGATTATATTGTTTTACATGTTATTATTGTCTGGTTGGTATCATAATGGAGGAATGTGTATTTGGCCCAAATAGTGGAATTTCTTCTTCTGCATGCTATCTTGCGCTAATAAGTAATAAATGTTTGATTTCGGATGTTTTTCATCAAATCATAAAAGAAGTGCATATGTACAAACCCAATTTACTCTGATACCACTAGATAAAATCTAGTACAACAATACCCTTCCTGATTAAGTGTCCCAATTAGTAAACAGAATCATGTTGGAGCATAGTAAAGAACAAACAGCACCATGAAGACCAAGGAAAAAACAAAGTAGGTCAGGAATAAAGTTTTATGCTGAGATAGGTTATGCAACAAAATCATTAAAGACCGCATCACATTTCACATGATTTCCTGCACTTTTATTGTTTTTCGAGAAAAAACAGTCAGTTTTCTTTGCTGTTAGCTCCTGTGCTACCTTTACCTTCCCTCAACTGAGCAACATTTTTGATATCAAGATGTGCAAAGAAGTTATAGAAGTGACAAAGCAACATTTTGCCTCATCTTCGCAGCTCCTTTTCAATCAGAAGTATTGGTATTTGCCTGAGGGAAAAGGAGGGATTTAGAGGTAAATATAATCTTGAAGTTGTTTTCAAAAATGACAGCTTTAGCAGCAGGCATAGAATTTATGATGGGTCATTTGAAGACTTTGAACTTTTCAAAACCAGACCCTCTTCTGTGAGTCTCCTGCTAACATATTGCAGAAATAATTCAGAACTAGAAAATTAGATGTTGGAAGAAGGTTTTTTTTTTTTTTTTTTTTTTTAAAAAGGTAAAACTGTAGAGCAAAAAGTTCCCAGACTTGCGTGGAATTAATGTGAAATCCACTGCAATTATTTCTGCAGACATTACAGACACAAGAGGGCCGACGGTGAACAGACAAGCTTTTTGTTCTGAGCTCTGAGGCCTCACTGACCGTGAAAAAGCTGCCCACCTCGGCCCCTGAGCTTTCACTTTGAATGATGTTGGAATCGGGGTCAGGGTGGTGAAGAGGTCGGAGCTGCTGCTGGTTTGCAGGTGGTGCTTCCCTGTAATGGTCGCTGGCTCTTTTAGTCACCTGAACTGATGGTTTATGGCATTTTAAAAAAACTAATGTCATGGACACTGTAGTCAGACATTATTATTGTCATCATGACTGTTATGTAATGCGTTTTCTTTCCTTTTACCACTAGCTGCTAGCTCAGCAACACTCCTTTTTATTAGGTCCTTGCTTTTCCCGCTGTTGGATCTTTGTCTTTGTTCATTGTTCTGGCGGTTGGGCTTTTCTCCAAGTCGTCCCTGATATTCAGAGTGTTTTTTTCTAGACTTCCTGTGTTTTCAGCCACGCTTTGGTTTCTGTTTGATTGTTTTGAGTTTGATTAGTTTTTCACCTGCATACCCTTAAGAAACACAATTATATGGCAGTTTATGGGAAAACATCATTTAGGTCTGTCGTAAAAGAATATGTTAGTAATCGAGTACAGAATATTTTTACAATTATCCGAGGAATCGGATCTTTCTCTCTCTGCCTCTCTTTGCCATTCCTACCATTCGCTCCAAAACCGTGACGACGCGATTCCGATGCCGCAAAACCAACCATCGCACCACAAAATTCAACAATCCTTATTTATACCTCAACAAATTTGACACAAAAACTCCAACATAGTGTTTTTGTGTCACCATTTTGGGAAAACAGTGGTTCAGACACAAACGTATAATATGAGTTTTAATTCTATATTACATGTTCAAAAGAAAATTTAGATTTTTAGCCTTATCTTTATGTCCCATGTCCCTCCCAGTCACACAGGCGGCCTCTGTGCAGGAGATCCAGACCAGCCATGAGAACATAGCAAAAATCAACTCAGCAGCAGAAAGTGAGTATTTAATGCTGTAAAAATATAAAAATATGTGGTGAATGTAAAACTTTCAAATGTAGAAAACAGAAAGTGGAGGTTGAGCAGAATGGCATCCAATTAAAAAGCCATTTATAGAGAAGTTGGAAAGTTTTGAACATGCAAGAACAAAACCAAAACCGCATCTCAAATTCAAAAGTAAGCAACTAGTTAAAAAATACAGAAAGAGGCATTCAAGTTTAGATGAGAGACAAAAACAGGGCAAGCAATTTCTCCCTCTGCCCCATTGTTCAGGTGAAGGTGTAAATCTTTGCCTCATGATACTTTTAAACCCAATCTTGACACTTTCATCTGTCGTCAAATAAGAATAATTCATTCAGTTTTCCTGGCTTTTGTGCTACTATTTGTTTTATTTAATTAAATAAGCTGATTTGGGTCAATAAAAACATAATTTTTTTAAGAAAATAAAAATAAGTGTATCTACAAAATCTACTGGAAAATACGTTTTGTGAATTAAACTTAGCACAGCATTGAAAGCTCTGATCATACCAAGATTAGCTCTATTTATATAATCAAAACTACGGAAACGTGAAAATTGACTCAAAAGTGGATTTAGTGAGAGAAAATGTCCCAGTGACCTCGATGTTAAAGACTCTCTTTACCGTCAGCAGCACAATAACTGCAGCGTTTCGGCTTACTGGACCGTGAAACAACACAAATGTGTGAGGAAGTTGATTTAATGGAGGAATGTCTACATGGAAACTATTTTTGTGTTCATGGGAAGTGATGCAGTGCTCAGCAGTCTTAGACGTCCTCTTCCTCATGGATGGCTCCTACAGCATCGGGAAGGGCACCTTTGAGAGGGCCAAGCATTACGCAGTCAAGCTTTGTGAAGCCCTGAACGTTGCTTCGGATAAGGTTTGTTTTCCATCCAAACTTTGTTTTCGTCCTCATGCTCTACATCAAAATCGATCAACATCCCTTTTTTTCCCCTCTGGATCGGTGCAGGTGCGAGTCGGTTTGATTCAGTTTGGCTCCGTTCCTCGCCTTGAGTTTTCTTTGGACTCGTTCCCCACCAAGCAGGAGCTGAAGAAGCACCTGAAGAAGATTTCATACAGGTGTGTGAAAACTTCTGGTTTGCCTCCGTTCCTTCCCTAGAAGCAAAGATAGCAGCTGAGTTGGAGGAAGTAAGAGTCCTCACTCTGTTCTTTTTTTGTGTCGCCAGCAAGCAGCCACACATTCATTTGGCATTTTTCAATTACAAAAGTCTTTTTTGTCAAGAAAATCTATGTTCTGGTATCTGAACCTCATGGTTCCTGATGACGCATATTTACATGCTGATGTGACTTTTTGTTCACTGAAGGCGGCAGCACGTTGGAGTAGCTCTGTGCTTTTATTGAAATTTTGTTCTTTTTTTTCCCAAACATTCATTCCTGCTTTTTGGAAGAAAATTGATTTTTTGGACACCTGTTTGTTTTGGGTTCTGTGTGGTCGGACTGATTTTTGGCAAAATTCTTTATATTTTTGCTATACGTAACCATGGCAACATTGTGGTTTACAACAGGGAGCAGCTACTCCACATGGGAAAACCTGAATTTATTTAATTTCCCTTCCGGGATTATATATATATATATAAAATATTTTTTATTTTTTAATTTAAACGTGAATAATTCTGTTTAAACCGTTCTCTTCTCAGAGGAGGCAGCACCCAGACGGGCCTGGCTCTGAAATACGTCCTGAAGAAAGGTTTTCCGGGCGGCCGTAATTCCTCCAGCGTCCCGCGCGTCGCCATCCTCCTGTCCGACGGCCGGTCTCAGGGCAGCGTGGTCCAGGCCGCTGCGCAGCTGAAACAGACGGGCGTGGTTTTGTTTGCGGTCGGTTTGCGGTACCCAAAGTAAGGATTAATTATTAATTTCAGTCATTTTTTTTAACCTTTACTCACACACAAGTAACACAAGTAAAAAAGAAAAACACACTATGCTGAAAAGAAAAACGTAATAAAAAAAGGAAAAAACAAGATAAAACTAAAACGGAAATAATATTTATATTTCTGTCCAAGAAAAGACCAGAAAGTGTAAGTCAGAAAAAAGTGTAGAATCTTTTCTGTGTATTTTTCTACATTTTTATGAGTTTGACTGTAAAAAAAACTCATAAAAGAAAACATAATCAAACCTTCATTTTTACTCACTTAAATAGTGAAAAACAAAGATTTAACTCCTCACAACACACCTGAACAACTGTGCTTTTCGCTTCTAGATTTTTAAACAAACCTTTCTCTCTTAACTAAAAGTTTTCCTTTAATTTTAAACCACTTTTATATACACCTAGGAAAGAGTTTACTGTAAGCTTTGCACATGATCATAAAGTTTTGTGGTGTAAAAAATATCCGACTATGAAAAATCTGCGAAACAGTAATCACGTCTTTCAAGGACATGCGGTAATTTGCGATGAAGTTTCAAAACCAGCTAACACTCGGTTTGTTTCACAGATGGGAAGAATTACACTCTCTGGCCAGCGAGCCAGTGGAAAGTCATGTCTTCTTGGCCGATCATTTCCACGATGCCGTTAACGGCGTGTCCACTACGCTGAGCGCGCTCTCTTTCTGCAGCGCTACACCGGCAGGTGGGAGTCGATTCCGATTATACATCACTACAGACCTTTTCCTTCATTTGGTTGGGTTTGATCCGTCGTTGCGTTTCCTCCCTTTCATCAACCGATCCTCGGCGTTTCGCCTTTCGTCGTGTCCCGTCTTGTCCTGCAGGCTGTCAGGCCGAGTCCTTCCCCTGTGAGAGGAAGACGCTGGAGACGGTGAAAGAGCTGCAGGGGAATTTCATGTGCTGGAAAGGCTCCAAGGGATATTCCCCGTACACGTCTCTCTGCCCGTTCTACAGGCAAGAATGAAAAACTTTTCACTCAAATAAAAATAATTTTAAAACTCTTCACAGTTTGATTTTGTTGTTGAAAACTGTAATTATAGGCTTGAAAACTATTTCTGGTTATTCCTTAAAATTTCAAGAAAAGTAATCCGCAATTGTGTGTTAAAACGAAAAGGATAAATTATTTAATGTCGTGATCTGTGTTTCTGTGTGTTTATTTTTGAGTTCTTCTGTGTTCAGTCCTGTTTTCCCTGTGTAGTCCTGTTCCCTGAGTCTCTGTCCTCCCTGTTGATTGCTCCCCAGGTGTGTCGTATCCCCCTGATTACCCTGTGTGTATTTAGCCCCACCTGTTGTCTGTGTTCGTTGTCAGATCCTCGTCATTTGTAACTGTTTCCCTGTGCCGTCGTGTCCCACCCTCGTCTAAGTCTGTTTTCCTGTGGACTCTGAATCATTAAATTCATCATTTTCACCTTCATCCTGGCTGCCTGCGTCTCATCTCACCTCACCAAACCCCGAACCATGACATTTAAACAGTTTTACAAATAAAAATCTTGGAAGCATGACTTGTGCTTCTATTCAGCCTTCATTGTTATGGTACTATTTAATCAAATCCACTATAACTAATTGCTTTTGAAGCGTAAGGTTAAGTTCACAGCAGGATTTTCTCACACCATCCTCTTCAAGAATCTGCTTTGGGAAAACAGTGTCTTTAGTCAGAGGCTTCTTCAAATTCACTGCAACACAGACTGCTACAAGAGATCTTTACTGCCATTACCATCTACAATAACTCTGAAGAATTTGAGTTAATATGAGTTTCAACATTTAATCCCCATCTGGGATCAATAAATTGTTTTGGAATTGAACTACCTATTTTTTGGACTATAGAGCGCACCTCACTATAAGCTTACTTTTTTTAAAAACTGGAAACGTACGTATATAAGCCGCTGGTATCTCCGCCACTCTCGCTGTGTCCACAAGGACACGGCAGAGGGCTGCGTCCTTAATAAATCTGCTATTAAGGACGCAGCCCTGCATCTTCAACGCTGAATCATGGACTCCTTACGCCGAGCTTACATGCAGCGGCTATTAACTTAAAACGGCATCATATGAACTTCTTCGGGGGTTTGAAAACATTTCTCCACCGTGCCTGCTGCTAGCATGTGCTTGTTCTAAAAGAAAATTAGCATTTTCTTCTTTGATTTCCAATTTTGACTTCCAATGATTCACTTCCTGCTGAAGCGCCCCCTGGTGGTTGAAGAAAAAAACAACAGAAATGCCGCACTGGGTTATAAGCTGCATGGTTCAAAGCTTTGGGAAAAAGTAGCTTATGGTCTGAAAAATACGGTAATTCAAAAGTCAACGTTTTTTTTTTTTCTTCCAGTGGCCCTATCCTTCTTCTGTAGAAACGTTCGGCTTTGTTAATTGACTAAACTGTGAACCACCATCATATGTTTTGCAGGTACAGTAAAGTTTACAAGAGACACCAGACCGTCTGCCATAGGACCGTTTGTTCAGGTGAACTTATCCTCTCCTTCCTTTGCCTCCTGCTGCTGTTTACCCTCCTCGATGGTGCTGACCTTCTCCTCATCATCACTAGATCCCTGCGACTCTCAGCCCTGTCTCAACGGGGGAACCTGTGTATCACAAAGTCTAGAGCGCTACCAGTGTGTGTGTCCACCGGGGTATGGATCAGACCCACACTGTGGTCAGTAAAATACTGAGCTCTGAGTCTTTTGTTATCAAACTAATTTAACCATAAATTCTTAGAGGTGGGTAATTGTATCACTATGTCAACGTATTTTTACCGAAGTGAAAGTAAAAAGTAGCCAATATTTTGTAAAAATATTTAGAAATTAAACAATCTAATGGGCCAAAATATAAAGTTAAATGGAAATATTTGTATTCTAAGGATGAAAATGACAATAATTTATGTATCAGAAAATAAAATCAGACAAAATTATATTTTCCAAATCAGTTTCTTTCAATAAAAAAAAAAAACAAAACAAACAAAAAAAACTTTTAAAACTTTAACAAAAACTGCAGGTGTGTGTCTGGTGAATTTTTGGTTAAAACATGTTTGTTTTTCATTCAGTGGGTAGAAAATCCAGAAATTTTACTCAACTAAGAGTAGCGATACGTCATAATTAAATTACTCAAGTAAAAGTAAAAAGAGCAGCCTCGTAAAAAAGTTACTCAAATAAAAGTAACTAGTTACTTCTGACCTCTGATGCTTCCCCAGCTCCTGCTTTGTCCTTGGACTGCTCCATTGATTTGATTTTCCTGCTGGAGGGCTCTGCGACGCTCACTTTAGAGGGCTTCCTCCGTCTCAAATCCTTCCTGAAGCGCTTCCTGCAGACCGTCATCAGCTCCGACAGCCCCAGTAAAGTCGGCCTGGCCGTGTTCGGTGGGGAGGCCAGAGTGGAAGCCCAGGTTGGGAGATTTAAAGGAAACACCAGGAATCTCCTGAAGGCTGTGGATGCTCTGCAACCACCTGGCGGTTTGACCCTGACGGGCCAGGCGCTCCGACATGTGACCCGTCACGGCTTCGTGAGCGAACCGGTGTTCGCCGACGTCTCGGATGACCTCCCCCGCGTGGTGGTGCTGCTCGCCGCCACACCTGCTGCTGATGACGTGGTGGAGGCCTCAAAATATGCGCGAGACAGAGAGATCTTCTTGATAGGGGTCGGACCGGAAAGACTGAAGGCGGAGCTGAATAACATCACGGGAAATCCTCAGAGAACTGTAACGTACTCGTCACCGGACAGGCTCATCGGGAAGATACCGGAGCTGAAGGCCAAGATCTGCAGCGTGGACATGCAAGGTAAACGCTGCCCAGATAGGATCCGTGTCACTAACTCGGATATTTCACACGCCTGGTAAAGATGTGCAAAAAGCCTAAACAAGTTATTTTTTTGGAAAACGTAGAAACTTAACTTTTATTTATTAAAAATATGTTTTTTGCTTATTTCTTTAAAACTCTCATCATGTCATGACAGTTTGGTATGAAACAGATGATCTGTGGAAAAAAAAATTGTCCCTCTGCCTTCTCCCAGTGCTAACTACAGAAATACATGACTTGGTCAGAAACCACTAATCAGAGCCTGGAGGAGTCTCAGCAGCATTGTCAATCAAGCTTCGGTACGCGCTGCTCACACCCTCAACCTTGCTCTCTGCGGTGCTTCAGGTTATTCCTGACATCACAGCATGCCACAAATGCTAAGCTAGTTAATGGTAAGTTATTTCTCTGCCATTAGGAGATTTAGGAGCATCTACATGAGCATGATTGGCAGCTTTAACACCTTCCTCCTGGCTCTGATTGGTTGTATCTAACTGGGAGCGGTGAGGAGGTGGAGGAGCTTGATTTTTTTTTTTTCAGATTTTCTGTACAACATTTTGCCGTTAAACTGTGTTAAATATGCAAAAAAAATAAAATTTTTATAAGATGCATGATGCAGCTTTAAGTCCAGATATTAAACTGTTATTAAACTCAAGCATTTCACAGCAACCTCCAAATTGTTTCATATGTTTCACTGCTGGCAAACGTATGAAAATATATATTTTTAATGTAGTAGCACTGAAAATGCGGCTGCATTTATTTAATGTTTAATCTATTAAATCCACTTTAACTGATTCCAACTTGCAAACGGTTTTGTACTTGAGTCTCTCTTTAGTTTTCCATTTCTACCTACCTAAACTTTGTAAGTAGAAGGTTTATGCATTCATGTTTATATTAAATACTCTCCATCTTTTGTTTCCAGGATGTCTAGGTCAGGCGGTAGACCTGGTGTTCGCCCTGGATGCCTCCGTTGGAGTCGGCCGCGAGAACTTTGCCACGCTGCAGGACTTTGTGCGAAGCATCTCCGTCCAGTTTGACGTAAACCGTGACGTGGCTCAGGTCGCCCTGGTGGCCTACAACCGCAGAGCCACCACTGTTTTTGGCCTCGACGTGCACGAGTCCGGCTCTGCCATCCTCAAGGCCGTGGGTGAAGCCAGCTACATGGGCGGCGGGGTGTCGACCGGCGCGGCGTTGCTCCACATCTACTCCAAAGTCCTGACCGTAGCCAACGGCGCCAGGCCGGGCGTCAACAAGGCTGTGGTGGTGTTGACTGACGGCTCGGGCGGGGACGATGCCGTCGTCCCGGCTCAGAAGATAAGAGACAGCGGAGTTTCGGTTTTTGTGGTTGGCATTGGAGACATGCAGAGAGACAAAGTGTTGATGATCGCCGGTTCAGAGGAGTACATGATTTCTGCACCAAGTTATGAGGATCTCAAGTACTTTGAGGACGTGCTGGTTCAGATGGTGTGCTCAGGTAAAAATACTGAAAACCATTTGTTCACCTTAAGCTGCTAAAACAGACATGATCTAATCACTTTTATTGAATTTTGCATGATTAATTCTTGTAGCTATAAAGCCTCATGTAGCTCTATGGTCCCTCCACTGTGGCTCTAACAAAACCAAAACGGAAAACGGAAATGTTTTTGATTACGGACGCAATAAGAAATGGTCAATTTAGCAGTTTTTCTGCAAGTTCTTATGCAAAGTATATATGTATACAATATCTACAATAGGCTTTGAAACCATACTTATTTATCTTTATTTTCCACCCAAAACTGCCAAGTTACTTGCTTTTCTGATCTGCTTGCATGAAAATAGTTGTTTTGTTTTTGTCAGAGGTGAGGAAACCCGTGAACCTGTGCAAGCCAAACCCGTGTATGCATGACGGCATCTGCGTCCTCTCAGGAGCCAGTTTCAGGTGTCAGTGCCACGGCTATGAAGGGCCACACTGCGAAAGACGTAAGTGCTGCTAACACTGCAAAAAAAAACAAAAAAACAATAAAAAACTAAATCTTACCAAGTATTTTTGATATAATTTCTAATGCAAATATTTCAGTACACTTGAAGTAAGACAAAACTAACAAGTAAGGAGCTTGTTTTTGGTTAGTAATCTGTTTAAATTTATTAAAAAAGTAGTAGTTCCACTGCCAAATCATTTCACTTAAACATGGAAAAAAATCGGTGAAATGATCTTATAGTGGAACTAGTACTTTTTTAAAATCAGCATTGAGGAATTATTGACTTAAATGTAGCTACTGAAAAGTTACTTGTTGGTTGGGTCTTATTCAAGTGTACTACTTGCACTAGAAACTAGGCAAAAAATATCTGGAAAGATTTTGTGTTTTTGCAGTGAATGAACTCCTTAATTATTTCTCAAATTCTTCAACATTTTTCATTATACTTATTAGACGATATATATATATATATAGGAGTGAGTAGAGTTTTGAAGTGGTGGCGTCACGTGTAAAAGGTCAATAACTCGTCTGGAAATGGAAAATACTTCAAATTCCCGACTCCTCTAGATTACATTTGTGTTTAAGCTAAAACTTTTGGCCATGACTGCAGACATCAAGACCTGCTCTGCGCTTTTCTTTCTTTTCAGGAAGCGGTAAAAACTCATCCAGAGGGGATGTTCCAAAGCCTGCTGGTCTGAAGAAGAAGAGCAGACAGAGGAAGAGCCACCAGGAACTCCTGCGTCGTTATAAACTTCACCGCCGGAGACACACTGCCTGACGCAACACACAAAAAAATCACACAAACACTTCAAAATCAGGGGTGTTTTTAGAGGACAGCAAAACCTGATGTTTATTTTTTTAGTATTTAATGTTGGACTTTTTGTAAAGTTTTTTTTTATGTCTTTATATACTGACTGAATAATAATTGTGCTGGCTGTTTAAAAATATAAACTGTTAATAACATCATCTGTGTCCTGATTTTGTTCCCAATTCCTAACCCCAAACTTCACCTCAGCTCAGGCAGTCATGACGGACCGTCATCCCAACTTTACGCAACATAATTATGGCTGGATAAATATAAATAACCACTTCTTTTATGACTGTTAAACATATAAATATGGTTGGCTTTCTGGCACAGACCTGACTTATAATGACGGTCCACAAAATGTCAGCAGGGTTCAGGTCACAGTAAAATGTGATGCACGAGTTTGTAACCCTCATTTCTGTCTGTTTTACCCAACAATTAGTTTAGTAATTGATTATTCTGACAGTCGAACAAAAAAATTAACATTATACAAAGTTTTATTTAACCGCTTATGCCTTTTTTATACAATACTAGAAGATGCAACTAGACAAATAATTTAAGTAAATTTTTTACAAAGAAGATAAACATTTTATTGTCTGAAATGTGGCATTTCTTCAGTGAATTTGACCCAGGTGAAGCTAAAACTATGCCACTTGACGATCTTTGGCTAAAACATATTTAAAGACAACGGTGTTTTCCTCTAAAATGGAAAACGTATATATGCTTTGCAAAGTTTAAATATTGATGTTTTACAGCAAATGAGAGAACATTATTTAAAAAAACAAAGAGCTTTTGAAAAAATAAAATGAAACAAACTGAGACAAACTGTGTAGTTTTTGTCAAACAAGATTGAAAACATTAAAAACAAGCAGTATGGGTTTTTTTCATGACATTTTTTTTATTTGAATAAAAAGTGCAGTTTTAGCTAGCAATACAAGCCAAAAGGCTGAATAAATGGTGTACATCTATTTACATCTTGGCTACCACCATACATGAGCCAAGCTACAATCTAAATTTTACACAATAGACAATTTAGTAAAGGGATTTTTTTTTTTCTCTATTTAAAAAATTTAGTGGTTTTAAAATGTGCTGCATTCTCGTTTCTGCAACGCCAGCCTTAATGGAGTCACTTAAATGCGCTCCTTTGAAAACAAATGAGAAAAGTAATGTTATTAAGGGAATCCAGTGGCGTTCAAGAAGATTTCGGCTTGTGCTTCGGTCTCCTGGCCTATTTAAAGTCTTGGGAAGAAATGCGGGGGTTTTTACTCCACATGGTTGTAATATCTGTGCAGATTCAACAAGTTTCCACCTAAGTGGTGGATTTTTTCTCCCATTCCTATAAAAAGAAAAAGCAACAGCAGCTTTAACACAAAAATAGTGACTTAATAATTAAAGCTGTAGCCTCAGCATCTGTTGCAGTCCAGCCTCACCTTGGCTTTCTGCAGGACGTTTCCTTTTGTGGCGATGATGGAAGTGGGCCTGTTTTTAAGAGCCGAGGCAGAGTTTACAGGGCAGTCTGCACTCGCGCTGTTGTTGGAGGGCTGGGAAGGTGCTGGGGAAGATGACGAAGGCGATGATGATGATGATGGTAACAGTGAAGCTGCTTGTGTTGATATTGATAACGATGACGTCTGTGGATGAGGCAGAGTTGCAGCTTTAGTCTAAAAGACAAAAACGACGGAGAAAGTGTTGAGTTCATGCACCAAACTGATGAGCTCTGGGTGTTTGGAGCGGGCGAAGCTCACCGCCGGGGAGTCCTGGAGGCTGCTGTCCAGCGTGGTTCCCAGTGTGAAAGGCCCCGATTCCACCTTCTTCAGACTTTCCTTCACTTCTACCAGGCGGAGCTCCACCTCCACCCTGCGGCGCTCCGCCTCCCGACACGCCTCCTCCTTCTGCTTCAGACAGGCCTCCAGCTGAGCTTGCTGCTTAGGATCTGAACACACCAAACGGCTGGCTGTCAAACGGAAAACCTCACAACAGAGACGAGTGACAAAAGCACTGAGCTGTACCCTGGCAAGCGCTCAGCTCCTCCTTTGTTTCCCTCTTCTCCTTCTTCAGGTTGGCCAGGCTGCTCCTCACCTCCTCCCTCTCCTTCTCCAGCCGATCGCGCTCGTCTATGTAGCGCAGCAGGTCCGCCTCGGTGCGGTTCTTGCCCAGTTTGACCTCAACGGCACTGGAACTCCCTGAGAATAAAACGTCGGTATTTGTTGGCAATATCACAGCTAAAAAGAAAAGAGAATCCTTGTAGTTGGTGGACATTTTTCAAGCTGCTTTCGGGATTTGTTTGGCAGGTGGATCATTCCAAGTGGTTTTCAAACAGGTTTTACTCTATGTGGTCACAAAAACAAATTTTCTGGACGATAGATTTTTCCAGAAGTTATTGTGATAATCGATAATATTGTTGTTTTGAGACCATTTTAAGTAATATGATGGTAAGAGCATAATGATAATGCAAGAACACATTCTAAACGATTAGTAAACTTTAAATTCTAATGAACTGGAAGACATTTTAAATATCCAAAATCAGTAAATAAAACAACAAATGAAAAGAGTTTTGAAGTCTCGGTTAACAAAATCATTCTTCAAAACAATGGCGAGTTGAGACCAAAGCACCAAACTGAAGACTTTTATCATCCAGATAGACAATAAATCATGCCAATGGAAATGATTGAGTTTCTTATAATTTATCATGCTATTAATTGACTTATTGATTATTATGACAGGCCTAGTCATAATAACGCATTTTCCCCGCACATTGATAAAATTACCTCTACAACAAAAAAGTACATTTTTATTCATTTATTAATTTCGAACAGATAGAAAGTAAAAAAAAAAATTAAAACAAACTATCATGTCTAATTGACATGCAACTTTACATTATCTGTCTGAAAAGGAGCAGGAAGAAGATCTTATGATTTCCTGCCCCTCTCATACTCATTAACTTACAAACATTTAAATATCCAAACACCAGATAAACTTGAATTATTTCCACATTGTATGACACTTAAATAACTCTTCTGTACATTCTTAAATGTACAATTATTTATACATTTTTAATATAATTTTTGCACTTCATGTAGTATTCAAATAGATTTTCTTGTATTATGTACAACGGCTGTAAATCTGTTTTGGACGTATTGCCCCAAACGTCCAAACAATATGCCAAATGTGGTACAATGAGAGAATTATACAAACTAAACAAATAGCAACACTTTTGGCTAGTTTTCATTTTACCTGGCAGTTCATTAAAACCTTTACTTTTTAAATATTTTCCTAAATAAGGTTGGAAAGGGAGGGATTGGGCAAAATCTGCAGATCTTGAATAATGCCAGAAATATTCTTTGCATTTTGCACTTTCCAGTCATTTTTATGTTGAATATAGTGAAAAACTGCACATTATGAATCAGCTTTTAGTTCTATTTTAAAACAAAAGAATAAAAAAAAACTCTGAAAAGTAATGACTGAAGGGGTTCGGATTGTAACGCCTGAAGCTGTAATGGGTGAGTCTTTCCACCAGATGGCGCCGTTCCACATCACTCAGGAACACAAGGCGACCATTTCCACCTCAGTACCGCCTCTAAATCTAGATGTCGTTGTTGGACCTTACCTATGGTGTAAGCCTTTGGCCGTGCTGGTTGTGGGCTGTGAGGGAACCCAGCTGGACTCTTCTGTGCTCCAGGCAAACTGAAGGCTTGTGGGACGCCCAGGCTGCTCCTCTTTGACGTCTCCTGGCTTTGAGTCTTGACAGGCTGAGGTTGTGAGGGACTCCGCGATCGCTGCTGTTCTGCTTTGCTGGGGGAAGACGCTGAATTTGGCCCATTTAACACAGGGCTGGACTCTGGCTCGGTGCGGTTCGTTGAAGTGACCTGGAGATTAAAGGCATGGATTGATTTAATCTAAGTGTACAGAAAGAAGCTCATAAAAAAGCTGAAGCATGGGATAACTCTCCATTGATTTTCCGATAAAACTTATCCAGGTATTTATACTACAATCCCACCTTAAGGCCTGAAAGTCTTCATTTCTTTGCTTTGCATCTTTTTTACTTTCACAATAAAAAAATAAAAATCTTCAACATATAAAGCTCTGAATGCCGTGTTAAAGATTTAATTTATTTAACATTTTTCCTCAATGGTAGACTTTGTACTGGTTATTTCTAGAAACTAGCTCTAGCTAGCTCCCTGCACAATCATTTTTACTCCTTTCTACTTTAAACTTTCCAAACTGGAGTATCAGTATGCCAGGATAAAGATTTTCTTTTCTTCTTCTCACCTGAAAAGCTTTCAGACCTTGTTTTTGTGGATTTTATGTGTACTCCCAATTCACATCTATTGTTTGGGATGTTTAGACTTTCGCCGGATGAGGGCTGGGACAAATCTTAGATTATCTACCTCTTTAACTTGGCAAGAGGAATCCTTCTGGCCCTCTCCAGGGATTGGACAAACTCTAGGAGTTTCCTTGAGAGGCGGAGAAGCTTTGGCTCCGCAGGCCGTGTGGAGGAAGGAGCGCATCGGGACCAGATCCAGGTAAATTCTGTTGTTGCTGTCTTGCTCTGTGGCATTGTCTGGCTGTGTTGCATTGTGATCCTGGGGATTGTTTTTTTCCTCACAGCTCGGCTGGGTATCCTCCTCAGCATCCTGCGCGATATGGGAGTAGGATGTTAGTGATGGAAAGCAGCCGGATGATTGTTGTCAAAGTGAAACCGAAAATAACGCAACCCATCGGAGATTATTCGAGCCTACCTCGGGATCAGCTATTGATGCCACGTCATCGTAAATCTCATCCGAGTTTTGAGGAATAGAAGGGAGGGCGTCTATGTACGTATTTGACTCTGAATATCTCCTTTGCATCAAGCTGGAGAGAAACACAGGCAAACAGAAGTCTCAGCCAGATGTTCCATGGCAGTGGAGAGCTGCGACTCCTCGGGTGAATAACTTACTGGAAGGAAGTCTTTGCGGCGGTGACGATGGTGCAGACCCTTTCGGAGTCAACGTAGTCGTACGTCAGGTCCTCCGGGTCCGTTTTGGTTCCCGTCTGTGACAGTAGGAGGCCCAACCAGTGACCCATATCTGCTGAAGTTTTCGCCTGGGAGAAGAACGGGAGGAGGGAAGAAGGTATGTGCGCTCAATGCAAAACAAGCACTTGCAACACATCCTGGGTCTAAAGCCACATGGTTACATGCCATCCATCGCTTTGGATTAATCAAACGATTGCTACAACAGTATTTAAGATGTGAACAGTTTGCTACTCACAACATGTTGCAATACTATTCACACCCCTCGAGTTTTTCAAGTTTTGTAACATTACAGCTTCAAACTTCAATGTAACTTGTCGAATTTTATTATGTGGCAAACCAACACAAAGTTGAGCACAAATAAAAATGCAAAAAATTTGCATCTGCTTTCATTCGTGCCCCTACAATGTGATAACACTAAATAAAATTAAGAAATTCTTGAATAAATCCAGTTAATCTGCATGTTTTTCAATGAACATCGGTGAACAAAAAGGACTGTGGCAACGATGTGGAGAAATCTAAAGCAGGGTTTTGTCCTCAGCAATATTTCAACATTGATGTGGCGTCTCTGAAGGAGATGCAGACATCCACAGCTCACGTGGCAGAATCGATCAAGAAGACGCCTACAGGTTGTGCACTCCACCGAACTGGACTCAATTGGCAAGAAGAAAGCCATTTTTGAAAGAAAACTGTATGATTTATCATTTAAAGTTTGCCCCACGCCAATGCAGAGGACTCGGCGCTCTGTCAGAATATAGCAAAACTGAACATTTTTTTGTTTTTAGCAAGGAAATATGCAGCAGAAAACCAACACTGCACATCATCCTGAACACACTATATCCACGATGAAATGCGGAGGTGGCAGCATTGTGGTTTCTTCAGCAAGTTTTAAATGAATTAAACTAAATACATGGAAATCTAGGATAAAAACTTGTTAAAAAAAAGACTTAAAATTAAGGCAGAGGTTCAACTTCCAACAGGATGACCCTAAACATACAGATTCAGACAGAGCAACATGAGGACAATCTACATCAAAGCACAAACCTATTTGAAAATCACTGAGGTTCAGCCATTTTACCAAGAAGAATAGGTAAATGTAGTCTCTAATCGCAGTGAACTGTGGCTCTCAGATTTATAGTAGGCTGAACTGAACTGCATGTCATACTTTTAAAAGCTTCCTTACATTTTGGTAGACATCATAAAATCTCCCCAAATAGGTTGAAGTTTTCATGCTTTAATAATGCTGTAGCAGATTTCGACCAGACACATATAAACAACCGTTTAACCTTTAGTGATCCTTGTGCATGAACTATATGAGACCATAAGTATAAAACCCCTCTGAGTCTCTACATACAGTTTCTCTGAACCAATGATTAGTTTGGAAAAATAAAAAAGGAGGAGGCCTCAGGACTAAATAATAAATTCCTAAGCCTATGACAAAATACACACTGCAGCTGGGTGGTACTGAAGGACTAATGAAAGAGGGTGTAGCTTTAGTCTCCGAAATCCCAGCACAACCACACCCTTCACATCCATCCATCCATACACACACACACACACACACACACCAGCACACACACACACGGGACCACCCTTGTGTGAATGCATATCTCATATACCCCAAGTCAGATGCAGGCAGAATGTGTATTTTTAAAATAAGTCGGTGTTAGGGATTGTTTTAGACTTTGCTTGTTTGTCAGATCAGCATTAAATCAGCCAGCTCTTATGAGAAAATGAGCCATGGACAGGAAACGTACCACATCCGATCAGGTGTCAGGATCTATTTACAATAACGTTTGCTAAATCAGCATATGCAGCGAAATACCGCTGTGCTGTGGTCAGGTTAAAAGTAACAGAAAGTGTGCAAAGTCTTAAGCGTTTATTTAATCTCCTGTTTGAGAGAAATGCAGCGTTTATCTACCTCTAATGTCGCAATCTGTGTGCCGTCCAAGTCGATTCTGAAAGAGTAGAGGTGCTCGGGGATGGGGTCGGGCAAAACGCTGCAGCCCTCCAGGGTCACCGCTGGCTGGCTCACTTTGTTCTTCCCCTTGTCTTGGTAAAACCACAGCTGTCCGTTTTTTATGAGACACCAGCAGGTCCGCCACTGGCTGTTCACCAGAACGTTCAGGTAACCTTTAAAAAAAGAAACGAAACCTTCATCAGGAGGCATCTGTTTAGAGCTGAAAATATTAAAAGCTCAGGAAATGACTGTCACTGTGGAGGAAAGCAGCTGAAACATTGTCCATTTACATTTTATGACGTTCAAGCAAACCACTAAATTCGTGAAACAGGTACACAATTTCTTATGTTTTGCATTTAACCAGAATCACAGTTTATGATGTTACAAGTAGAATAATCAAGGAGTCATATCAAAACTTGTTAGCATTAGCCTAGCATTGTGGCCCCGAACATCTTGCCCCTGCTGCCGACCTTTTCATGAAGACTGTGGATGATTTATTTTTAGAAGAAAAAATGTTAAAACAATGTTGCTTTTATGTTACATGAGAACTGAGAACAATATTCAATAGTGATTAACAAACATGCCGCTTGCAGGTAGCCAAAATCCACAAATATTTGAGACTTCCTCTAAAAACACTTCTAATTGCATATTCTAATAGTTCAAACTCTAAATATACCTCAATATGCTTAAATTCAAATGCCTTATTAGCAAAGAACATCCCTAAGATACATTTTCTTCACTGTCTTGGTTTATATAAGCAGCAGTTTTGTCAATGGCTACGTTTACGCCGCTGGCTGAAGTGACGCAATTCCAATTTCTCTTCCCGTAATGCGACAGTCTGAACAACTCAGGTCGGATATTTTTCGAATATCCACTTGGATATTCGATACGTATCTGATATTTTCAAATGTGACCCAAGTCCGAACGGCCAGGTCGCATTCATCCAACGTAACGTCATTGATACTCGACAAACGTCACCATTCTGCGTCCTGAAACGCGGCAAGCGGGAAGAAAAACAACAATCATGGCGGACTATAATGAGGATTAAGTTGTTAATATGCTGGATCCGGTCAGACAACAACTTTAAAATCATAAAATATGCTCCACTGTTTGCATCCATGTTAACTTCCGCAAACACTGAGCACGCTCTCTACGTGACGTTAGTGCGCCCTCTACTGCGCATGCGGGACACTTTCAGGTCCTTTGCAGTTCACACTGGAGATCACATACAAGTCTTATATTTGGAAGTATGAACAATCACGCCAAAAAATAAAAATAAAAAATACGATTTGACAAAAAAATTGGAATTGGCTCATTTCAGGGTGTAGTGTGAAAGCAGCCTATTTGTAATTTTGCAAAAAAAAGTACTGCTTATAAAAAACATCAGTTGAGCATAAAGCAGAATACTTTTGTCAGTAAAACACCAATGCAGTCATCAAATTGGAATGACTTTAGGAGGCATGAATGGAACAGAGTGAAGTAGATCTGTGGTTACCTGAGGTGTCGACGCTTTTCTCGGGGCTCTCCAGCGAAGATGGTTTTTTCTTCCCAATGTTCATCAGATTGCTGAACATTAAACCTGGGCCATATTTTTTCTTCACTATAGCGACAAAGAGGGGGAAAAAAAGGTATTTTTTTTATGTGAAAATACAAGAAATGGCTTCCTGAACCAATGTTGGATGTGTTTGACTACCAAAATAAAATCCACTCACCATCTTTGTTTTCTGTGGTGTCTGTGTGGCTGTCTGTGCTGCTGCCACTCTCTGAAGCCAGCGAGTGTCTCTCATTCAGATCTCCCTGTGTGTTTGTATGAACAATTTATTAATTTCAAAAGCGAATTTTTCAAAAAATAAATGATTTTTGATCCCACTGGTTTATCTAGAACTCCAGAGGTCTAGTACATATAAAGAAAATATTAGAACAAGCATACCTTAGTGCAAATAAGCCGTGGGGAGTCTGATGCAGAATGTTGAGGATCACAGTTTTCAGCTGGCTTGGGACTTATCTCCTGAATAACCTAACATGGAAAACACATCCATGTGTTTTTTCCCACACTTTAACCTTAAAATAATTGAAATTATTGCAGAGAAACACAGAAAATTGATCACCTTAAGCCACTGCTCAGTTTGTTCTTTGCTCTGCAGGCCTAACACAATGGCCTCGCCTCCTACTGGGATGATCTTCAGCTTGTGCTCTTTTTTCTTTGGCTGTTTTTCTTTGTATATCACACTGCAGCCCAACAGGCTAACGTCCAGCAGTGGTGTCTGGTCCTTGGAGCTTTTGTAGCACTAAGAAAAATAAAGAAACCAGGGTGACTTCATCTCTACGGTGCGTGCTGACAGCATGTTCTCCAGTTTTACAGCGTAGCAGTAATTTATTGAGGTTTGTGGGCATTTGTCTGCACTCAACTTTCTCAAGGATCTTTCATTACGTTTCAGTCACGTTGTGGGTTTGGACTTTGAGAAAAACACTGCAGCACACGGTACAACTGTCAGTTATTGATATCCAAATCGTTTGTCAGCTGGGCTGACATTTGGTTAAAACACCTGGAGTTCACAGTAAACACCAACAGGAAATCTGTCAAGGTTTGTAGCTGCAAAAAAAAAAAATCCTCATCCATTCACCGTTGTGCTTTACAATTAGCATGTGGTCTTTGATGCCGCATGCAGCTTGGTTTTCACCAAACATGATGTGCACTGTGGTCAAGCAGCCCTGCTTTGGTCTCGTCTGTCCTGAAGGTGTTATCCAAAAGGTCCTGTGGTTTTTATTTTGTTGAGAAAACTTTGGTGAACCTAAGCCCTCAAATTTGTTCTTTTTAAAAAGAAAATACTTTCTCTTTTCAAGAACTCGACATAGGGCTGTAACGATTCCTCGAATGATTCGAGGAAACGAATCGAAGCTTTGTTAAATTACGTTTTATTATTTAGCGCACCGTGTTGCGGCCGGGTCATTATTTGCGTTGCGCAGCGCTCTCACTTCCGCATACGAATTGTTGACAAAAGCTAAGCGTTAGCAGCATAAAGTAAAATTTTAAAGTTTGGTCTGGGAGAATTTTATTGATTTATAATAATGTCTGGTTTTTTTAAATTGTTTTTGGGGGACCAATAAGCATCCTTAAAAAGACTGGCGTGCTGCCTGGAGTACGGCAACCTGGTGGTCGGTTCAGAATGGCACACCGGAAAAATAAATTTACCACCATCCCGGTTGCAACAAATGGGTGGTGAAGCGTATCGTGGCGGTACGTAGCTGGTGAAGGTGAGAGTTCATTTATTAAACTGACTGAAAAGGAATACATAAACTAAACGCTGGAGTATAGACATTTTTTCTAAGCATATTTGTGATTTGTGAGCACAAATCACAAATATGTGATTTCTTTTTCTGAATTCTTTTTCCATTCAGAAAAAGAAGCTCTGAATGGAAAACTAAAACTTTTAAAATGATATTCGCAGATTCTTGCGGCTGCTGACCTGCTTGCCTCTAAGAATAAATAGACATTTAGATTATTTCTAACACATTCATGTCCCTCAAACTCTTTTTTTGTTAAATTGAATATATTTTAATATTTTTGTATAACTTTTCTTCAGGTTCACTTAGAAAGTGAGCTATTATTGCAACAGGTTAATTTTCTAAACTACAAAAAAGCAACTGTTAGGGATGCTCAAATATGAAAAATTGGACTGAAATTGATTTCTGATAGTTACCCCGGTATTATGCCAGATTTACCAATATTTCATTTTAGAATTTTTTTTTATCCGATTACTCGATTAATCGTAAGAATAATCGATAGATTACTCAATTACTAAAATATTTGTTTACAACAGCCCTAATTACAAGAAACCGTTCATCTGCCATCATTGGTAGCTATGCTAACTAAACTGAGCATTCACAGTTTGAATCTGCACAGTTCTGTGCTATGCTAGCAGCA